TCTGCCCGGCGGCGTGCGTCTGCGCACTGGCCGATGGCATCTCCGCGATCTGCTGCGTGGAGCTACTTGCCTGGGAGGAAGCCGGGTGGAATGCGAGTATAGCATGATCCACAGCAGGCAGCTGCCACACACTACTCTTGCTCCTGATGTTTGGCCGCTGACCCGCAAGGAGGGCTGCGTCTCGGCAGTGTGCGGCCGTGCATCGGGCAGCGTGGAGCTGCTCGCCTAGGAGGAGGCCACGGAGAGGATGGCTCCACGTGACTACACAAAGGCAGAGTCGGCGGCGGCGGCTGTCTCTGCCTCTGCGGCCAGCTCCGAGTCCGAGATGGAGACAACGGAAAACTGGCAAGAGCTCGAGCCAAAAATCATTGGGCTCAACATCCGCTGCCCGAGCCCCGAGCCTTCTCTAGCTCAGCCTGCAACTGCCGGACTTCGGCCTCCGCCAGGAAGGTGTGCAGGCTTACAGTCCAACAGTCTAACATGCACACACCGAAACTCCGAACATCTCGGAGTACCTCCGCCTGCAGCCGGTCTTTGCGTTCCAGGCTGAGCTGCTCCACGCGCAAAGCCTCTCGCAAGGGAAAGGGTTCCACCATTGAACTCGCATGAAGATCCAGCTCGAGAAAAATCCGGACTACTGCGGACCTGCATTTCCTGCAACTTCTGCTCATGGGCCTCCGACATCGTCATCATGGTCGCGAGCGCCTTTGCTGGCGAAGACGCCCCGTCACCACTCCTTGACTCCAAGACCTCCCACCTCTTCGTTCAGCTCCACGGCCATGGCAAGTTTCTCCTGCATGGCAGTCACCCCTCGTCACGCTCCCTCTCATGGCTTCCGGAAGTCGCGCCTCGACCTGCTGACGACGGGCGTGCTCCAACTCTGCGCGGCGACGCTCCACCTGCCATGAGTCGAAGCACTGCGGGCACCGCAGGTTGCAAGAACCTGCTCCGTCCTCGAGCATACCCTCATACTCGTACTGCTCTTGCTGCTCCTGCCAGCGGGACGACAAACAGCACAGAGCTACTGGCATGCTGCCCATGCTCCTGCCCACATGCCACTGCCCCAGCCTGCAAGGCCTGCGCGTTCGCTCGCATCGCTGCCTGCTTGTAATGGTTTCTTGGGACCCACAAATAATTGCCCAAGAAACAGGCA